CAGTAGAAATAGGACTTGAGACATTGGTAAGTACTTTGTTCCCCTGAATGGCCCCCCACTGGTGAAGAATGAAAGAGTTGGAGTAACTTGGTGCGCAGAAAACCTGTTGATCCCACCACAATTGCACCTCGGTAGCGAAGTATACCCGCTGAGAAAGACCACAAGGAAGGGCCAGAAACATTTACAGCAGCTTCTGCAATCCAAGCGGCCACTTTTTCATCACCTTCATAAGACTGCTCTATCTCAATCAACCACTCAGAAAGCACAGAGGACAGGGCATTACAAGTACTGCTTTCAATATTGTCCTAAAAAACACGAGAAAGAGCATATGTCGCGCCATTATAGCGTCCTTTCCTATATTTAATCTAGAAATCCAGACCCATTAGCTTGACCAGGCCATTCTTTTGAATTGCAGTGTGAACTTTTTGGCCTAAGAGGAACTTCAAACTCTCCCTGAGACAGAACAACACCCACACCAGAACCACAAGCATCAGTCTCTAGAGTGAAAGCTTGCTTGAAATCAAGGAGACCAAGGACTGGAGCTTGGCTCATAGTTGATTTGAGAGTAACAAATGCTTCCTCGACAACAGGTGACCAGTGAAACCCATTTTTCTTCAACAACTCAGTAAGTGGACGACTGATTATACCATAATTCTCTATGAACTTTCTGTAGTAACCCGTAAGACCCAAAAAACCTCGCAACCCTTTAACTGAGGTAGGACCCGAGCAAGACTGCATTGCTGCCACTTTACTTTGATCCGTAGAAACTCCATCCCGACTGATTATGTGACCCAAATACTCAACAGTAGGCTGGCCAAAGGAACATTTCGATGCTTTAGCAAACAATTGATGATCCCTGAGCAACTATAGAGCAATGTTGAGGTGCTGCAAATGGTCTGGCTCAGACTTGCTGTATACTAAAATATCATCGAAGAACACAAGAATGAACCGCCACAAATACGGTCCAAAAACATGATTCATCAGCGCCTGGAAAGTGGCAGGAGCATTTGTTAGCCCAAAGGGCATCACCCGAACCTCGTAGTGGCCTTGATGAGTTCGAAAAGCCGTCTTGAACTGATCTGCCGGGTGCATGCAAATTTGATGGTATCCTGCCCTGAGATCCAGCTTAGAGAATAAAACTGCCCCATGTAATTCGTCCCATAAATCTTCAATGTGAGGGATAGGAAACTTATCCTTGATATTGACTGAATTGAGTGCCCTGTAGTCCACATAGAATCTCTAGGTACCATCTTTTTACCAACCAACAAAACATGCGAGGCATAAGGGCTGTGGCTCTCCTGAATGAATTCGGATTTAAGCACCTCAACTACCAACTTATCCGTCGCAGCCTTTTGGTGATGAGGAAACCGGTAAGGGAGAATATTGATGGGTTTGGTATTAGGAAGAAGGGAAATTGAGTGATCAAAGGCTCGCGAAGGTGGAAGGGATGTGGGAGTAGCAAACACATCCGAATACTGTGATAGAAGGGGCTGCAATAAGGTAGGTGTAGGAGAGGAAGGAGGAATGGGTCAAAGGCTTCTTTAAGAGTTGTTGGAAGTCTCTGTTGGTCCTCATCTTGCATTGTCCTTCCTTGATAAGCCCCTACAGAGTAAGAGTTATGCCCTTCCATTCAAAGGATAACTTCCTTTTCTTCAAATCCACCTGAAATGGACTAATAGTCTCCAACCAATCTCATCCCAGTACCAAATCATGAGAAGGGAGGTCGAGGGTGCGAACTTCAAAACCAAATTCCTTCCCTTGCATTTTCCAACTGAATCCCCGACAGACTGAATTGCTCAGTAGAGTGTGACCACTAGCAACCTTAACCCTCATTTGAGCGATATTCTTAGTTCTACAATTCAGTTCTTCAACCCTAATGGTGTTTAAGAAAGTATGAGAGCTACCTGTATCAATGAGGACGGTAACCTCATGCTTCCCTGCTGTGGCGGGTATGAGCAACGAGTTCCCAGTAAAGCCTGATCCCATAGCCTGCAAAGTAACTTCCAATTCGACATCATGGAAATCGTCCTCCTGATCATCCTTTTCACTGGATGGTGAAGGAGCTTCTGCTTGCATCATCTGAAGCTACTTCTTCTTGGAAAGAGAGAGAGAGAGAGAGAGAGAGAGAGAGCGAGTCTTCTTCTTGCAGGCTTCAATTGCCGACTCCTCCAAGCGAGCTTGATAGAAGGCATAAGCTAATGTGGGAGGATGCAGCGCTTGCACATGCGGCTGAATCTCATCATCGAGGCCGCCCAAGAAACTAAGAATGAAGTAGTACTCATTAAACTTGGGGTTCAATCGAAGCATTCGAGAGCAAAGCTCCTCGAATTCCTCCTGATAGCGAGAAACAGAACTGATCTGCCGTAACCAGGGTTCAAGAAGGCGCGCCTAGGCACACGCCTAGGCTCAATTAGGCGCTAGGCGGTGGAGGATCGTCTTGACTTGGCCATAGGCGTTGAAAAAGGCGCTGGTAGCGCTTAGTAGGTAGGAATAGCGCTTAGTTTGCGCCTAGTGGAGAGAAGGCGTGCCTGGGCGTTCCTGGGCGAGCTTAGGCGGTTAAACCCAATACTCTTCGTTTTGTCCTAGAAAATCAGAAACTTGTCTCTTGCCCTAGAAAATCAGAAACACGGGAAGTAACATCTGCTGCCGCCTACCGCCCTAGCTCTCGCCCCATTTGTTGCTCTCTACCGCCGCAGGAGAAAGTCATCGATCACTCTTCTCGCCTTCACACCGCTCCGCTGCTATAGTGGGAAATAAAGTCGAAACTCGTCAATTGTTGCTCCTTCCTTCTCCTCAGTACGTAGCACAAGCTTCTTGCCTCTATAAGCACCTATTAGCAGATGATTGGTCACTATTTGCTTGTTATTTGTTATGTTAAGTGTTTACTGTTAAGAACTAGGCATTGCTAATTTTATATGCACTTGGATTATATGAATTATTCCAGAAAACAGGAAATATTTGAGAATTTTTCCATTTATGCTCTAAACGCCTAGGCTACGCCTAATCGGACAAGGCGTAAGTCAAGAGCCGAGCGCCTGCCTTACGCCTAGCGCCTTTTAGAACATTGGCCGTAACTGATTGAAAGCTGCAACCACGTTCAACTTCTCTTGATCATCGCGAAACAATTCATCCACGAATTGACCCCAAATCAAGGGAAAGTGACGGAAGGACCAGCTGTCAAAACATGTATGAGCTCGGCCTTCTAGATAATAAGAGACCATCTCGACCTTTTGTTCTTCCGGAATCGAGTAAAGCTGGAAAAGTTTGTTGCACTTGCTTACCCAAGCATGAGGATCGGTGCCAGAGAAATAGGAGAACTCCAGGCGAGGGTAGTGATCCAAAAGCGATGGACGACACTATTGATGGCAGAATTGTTGGTGGTCAAAGAATTGATCTTGATTGGCTTGCTGCGGAGCTCGGACCGACGATTTCTTGCGGAAGTGCGTCAAAGAGGCAGTGAGCGCATCGATATTCTCCTTTGTCGAATAAGCGAGAGCAAAAATGGCTTCCTTCAGATCTTGGTGTTGCGAATCCAGCTTCAACTGCAAAATGACCATCTGCGACTCCAATTCGACGATGCGGGAGGTGTTCGTCGCCATTTGCCAGATTTCAGGTTGCTGATACCACTTGTAAGGATCGTCAATGGCGAATCTGGCGAGAAGAAGAGAGAAATGGGGAAAAGAAGATAGCGACGAAGGAGGAGCTCTGTTTTATTTATAACTAGCTAAAGAATTGGTAAAGTAGCTAACAGTTGACAGTTTGGCAAAAAGATAACCAGCCACAATGAACTCTCCCTACTTATACATTGGTCGACTTTACACGTAACTTGCCAGTTGTATCCAGGTTGTTACATAGTATTCCAATTCTCCTCTAAGTTAGGCTGTAGTTGCTACTAAAAATTTGATTACCTTTATGTACGCGTTGAGAGTGGGGGAAGCATGAAAGCGACCCAACGAGAATCGACGCGACTACCTGTGGCCGAGTCGTCACGGCACGAACGACTGCAGCAACCTCGGACTGAGAACACGCAGCGGTAGGGAGAAGCACGGGACGACTGCTACTCTTTTGTGTAATCTTTGAATGGATTTCAAGGGAGGAGGGAAAGAGAGGGTTTCGATTTCGACTGAGAGGTGTGTGAAGGAGAAGGAGGAGTTTAGATTCTATGGCGGCTCGAAGAAGTGGGAAGAGTTGCATTCGTGAGATTTCGGCTAGAGATTTGGAAGTGAAAAAAAAGATGAGAAAAATATTGTTATGATTAGGATTTGAACTCTAGAGAACTTCAATGAAATCAAAATATTGCAACTTCAAGTGCCAAATATACGAGTTCAGAAAAGCATTTTTAAAAAACATGGGCTTATTGCAGGCTTCAATAATTAAGAAAAATATTCAACGAAAGAAAAATAATTAAAAGAAATAACCCTAATCTTTTGAAAGCTCACGGCGAAGCGCGACAAGCACATCTTGTATTACTAACAATGACCTTTCCATAAAAAGAGAACAAGAAAACCTCAATCACAAACAAGATATCATCGACAATTCCAAACATAACTTTTCTTGTTTGCCAAGAAGATAAAAATGCATTTGGTCAATATTTTAAGTCCAATACGTTATTTTCTACGCCAGAAGAAAAGATTCGTTTGGATACATCTTCCTGCACAAATGGCCTTTCCTTTTTCTTTATAAAGAATTAAAAGAAAGGGAAGGGAAAATCTCTACCAAAAAATATAACAGTAACCCACACAAAGACCAGCGCCGAGACTATCCGAGTCCGGCTCTGTTCTGCTGCCAAATCTTTCATCCCTCTGATCTGTTCGTTTCCTTCCTTCGTCTTGGTTGCTGAATTCTGAGATTAGCACACTCTTCTAAGGTGAGTTTCTGTTCCCAAAGCTCAGACCTTTTCCGTTTACCAACTTCTCGTTCATCTCTGTGTTCTGTTCCCGCTGATTTTCTGGGTTTAGTTTGTTATACTTGTTCGTCGGCGCCGATGGTGGATCTTTGGGATGGTATTGTCAGTAATGGGTTCTCGCGAATTTGTTTTTTCCCCCTTCAATTTTCTTTCTTTCGGCTTGATTTTTAGTGCGTTTGACTTGGAGTATTTAGGTGGACAACCTTCATATCTGTAGCTTCGATTGTTCGGCATGGTCTTTGACTTGTGGTTTGTTTAATGTGATATCTGATACTTCTAGCGGCCTGTTTTGTTCTTACAGTTTGTGTGCAGCAATATTTCATCAGGGATGGCAGAGGATAAGATTGGAATTGCCAAGGATGTCACTGAGGTTAGCTAGCTATATACCTTGTTTCCATTCACATTCCAATTAGGCATTATATTGTCAAGATGTGAATGCATTGCTGATCCTTCTCCCTCCTTTCAAATTGAACAGTTGATTGGTAAAACACCAATGGTATATCTCACCAATGTTGTGGATGGCTGCGTTGCTCGTGTTGCTGCCAAGTTAGAGATGATGGAACCCTGCTCAAGCGTCAAGGATAGGTATATGTTCTGATCATGACTATCATTGTTAGTTTCTTGTGAATTAGTATATCAAATGCTGGATATTCTGTCCAAAGAATTGACTTCTGATTTGCTTTATAGCTTGTTCATATTGACTTCTCAGATTTGATGTTTGGTTTCTTCCTTCTACTTCATGAAAGAAGCAAGGGATTTTCTAACTGCTCTTGTTGTTTAGTTGAAATTGTTAATATCCTTAAAACTTGTTTTTTTTTTTTTTTTTTTGGTGTAGGATTGGATATAGTATGATAGCTGATGCGGAGGAGAAGGGTCTTATCAAGCCTGGCGAGGTTAGCAATTCAATTCTTTCTCTTGGCTCATTTGGTATAGTATGCTGGAAGAATATTTGATCCGAACTGTTCCTTGTGAATGCATGAAATAAAGTATGTGCAATGTTATATTTGTGTGAGGGGGGAATCTAATTCTGACATGAATTTCTTTTTGTACTTATCTGTTGAAGAGTGTCCTTATTGAGCCAACAAGTGGAAACACCGGGATAGGGCTGGCATTCATGGCAGCAGCCAAGGGCTATAGACTTATAATTACAATGCCTGCTTCGATGAGTTTGGAGAGAAGAATGGTTCTCAGAGCTTTTGGAGCAGAGCTTGTTCTTACAGATCCGGCAAGAGGCATGAAAGGTGCTGTTCAGAAGGCAGAAGAGATCTTGGCAAAGACACCTAATTCTTATATTCTGCAGCAATTTGAGAATCCTGCCAACCCAAAGGTAATATGTTCGTCAGACTTTTGCTTCTCAGTTCTTCTTGGCTTGCCTAAGCCAGCGAATTTGCACAATGACAATCACTTGTTTTCATGTCCAGGTTCACTACGAGACCACAGGACCAGAAATCTGGAAAGGCTCTGCTGGCAAAGTTGACGCCTTTGTGTCTGGGATAGGAACTGGAGGAACAGTAACCGGTGTAGGGAAGTATCTTAAGGAGCAAAACCCTAATATAAAGGTACCGGTTCTTGCTATCATCCGGACAAGAATGGGATTATAATTCTATTGTTATTAGTTTTTAGACTTAATGTTTGTTTTCAACATTGTTTCAGCTCTATGGTGTAGAACCAGTTGAAAGTGCAGTGTTGTCTGGAGGAAAGCCTGGTGAGTCTTGTGTTGCATTGGAGGAATTGCGAAATCTACGAAAGAAAATCAACTAATTTAGGGTTTTAATTCTTCACACTTTACTCCCAACTGATAATCAACAATTGATAAAGTTCTTGCAACCGTCCATATCGAACAAGGAAAACAACTTGAACAATGAAACATAAGCATAATTGAACAATGAAAATGAGATTAGCTTAGCCCATCGGTAAACCATGGGTCTGGCCGTCTGGCTTAGACCTGCGGTTTGACCGTCGCGGCCGCATGTGTGGAATATACGCATCACTTGATCTCTATGTCTCTTCCGTTTTTATTCTAGGAATATGAAATTATACTACACGCCCTATTTTAACAGTAAGTATAAAGGAGCCAACCCTATGAAACTAATAATGCCGAATATTGCATTGGCTTATGACTCTCGTCTGATATTTTTTCCCTGTTCTTTGCTAACTTGCTCAACTTTTTTGCTTTTGGACTCCTAAGGTCCACATAAAATCCAGGGCATTGGTGCAGGCTTCATCCCGGGAGTCCTCGATGTCAATTTGCTTGATGAAGTTGTTCAAGTGAGGTTTCAAACCTTGATTCTTACATATATGATATAGCATTTGATCTTGGACCTTTCGCAGTTTGAACTATGTTTGTTTCTTTGACATGGTAACAAAGTCTTTGATGACCAAAGATTTTGTGTTCAATCAACAATATTAATGGTGTGCATGATGAGATTGCATAAAATTCAAATTCCTGAGTTGATTTTTGTCTAACGAGGCATTGTAAGAAGTGATACAAGATTCATTCTTGACTCTCTCCCAACAACTCGAGTTATTAACTTGAATATATTTGACCACAATATCCCTTCTTTCCTGTTTCATGCTATTGACACTGACCTGTCAATTTTTGTGTTTGTAGGTATCGAGTGAAGAAGCTATTGAGACAGCTAAACTTCTCGCATTGAGGGAAGGATTGATGGTAAGTTTGGAATCAATTTTCGTGTTACGTTATCATAACCAACTTTCTCCCATCGTCACTGAAATGTGTTCAATTGAATTGCCTGTATTGCAGGTAGGAATATCATCCGGTGCAGCCGCAGCTGCTGCAATCAAGATCGCGAAGAGGCCCGAGAATGCTGGAAAGCTCATAGTTGTAAGTACAATTATTTCCACTAGACCTTTGACATCTATTGGCCTACTTCTCGATCATTAATTCTGTAATTTCTCTACCATAGGTTTCCATTTGAGCCGCTTGTTTTAAAAACTAACTAGCACCAACGTTGGTGGTTGTTTTGAACAGGTGGTGTTCCCAAGTTTTGGCGAGCGTTACCTCTCATCAGTGCTCTTCGAAGACGTGAAACGAGAAGCAGAGAACATGGTGTTCGAGCCTTGAACCTGCCTCTGATGTTGTTTGGCGATGATGGAGTGCATGGTTACTGATCAGTACGGTCTCTGATTTTTAATGCTCGAGGTTTCTCTAGACTCCATTACCATGTCTTTCTCTCTCTCAAAAAGTTTTTTTCCTGTAGCATTGACAAAAGGGTTTGTATTAGTCAATACTCAATAACGGTGCCCGGAGTTGGCCGGCTTGGTGTTTCTGCTGGGTTTCTGATCCTCTCCATGGAGGGGAAAGAAAGAGGTGTTTGAGATATGCAATACTGTCTTGGCTTGAACATTGTGAACTGTGTCTTTTCCGCCAAGAACTTAGATACAAAGGTTAACGACGTTTGAATAAATATATAGTTGGTGTTGCGCGGTTGCGTCCGCAGCAGCCATTATATTTGTGGAATGGCTGGCTGTGCAACGTCGGTTACGATATACTTTTTAGTATTATTATATTTCATGAATATTTCCACTCACAGATCACATATTTTTGATAGCGGAATGTGACCAAATCGGAAGATCACATGTTTCAATTTTTACGACAACAGAGTTTCGTCACTAGCAGTCAGACACTTTCGAGAACACCACACGGGGCTTCGAGAGGCATCAAACTCGGAATCTCATACATCCCGAAACGACATACTCCGTAACGACATCGCTATGCTATCTTATTATTGGCCCGTTTAGATATATACAGTTAAGTGTGGAGTTCATGTTAGCGTTAGAGGTGGGCATCGGTCCGATGCCCACCGAATCGGACCAAACTCAGGAGAACTACGGTCCAATATTGAAAGATATATTAGGACCAAGGACCGGACCAATAGTGTATTCGGTCCACTTTGGTCCGCTTTGGTCCGGTCCAAATGTCAATTCGCTCCATTTTTCTTCAATATCTATAAAATTCATGGGACCAAAGACCGGACCATATTATATTCGATTCGGTGTGGTCAACTCCAACCGTCGATTTGGTCCGATATGGACCAACTCATTGTGCACTAGCGTTGAAGAAAGGAAAGGGACCTGAGAATTGAGATTATTAATAAATAAAGGCAAAATACACTTTCATAGCCATAACTATTCGCGCTGTGACAAATATAGCCACTTTTTGAAAAATACACTCGTATAGCCATTCCGTCCAAAACTTTAACGACAAAATCTTAAATGCTGACTGTACTAACGTTTTCTGGTGATGTGGCAATTTTTTGTTTAAACCAATCCTAGGTGGAAAGTTTCCTTTCTTATTATTATTATAATTACACTAAAAAGTAAAAAAGTAAAAATAAATAAAAATTGAAAATCGTCCTTCATCATCTTCTTTTCCCCTTCTTTCCATCTACCCAATCCAACAGACCCATCCCGATTCTCTTCCCCATCGTCCATCATCCACGGCCCAGATCATCTCCCACGGTAGAGATCTCTCAAACGCTTCTTCCCCTGATTATGATTATGATTCCTCCAATAATGGCGGCGGGGAGCAGGGCTCGTCTCTTCCGCTGAAACCCTACAGTAGGTACGATGCGCAATTGCTTGCTATGCAGAGCAACTTGAATGCCTACGCGATTGTTGAGCTCCATTGTGGAGGAGAAAAGGGATGAGGTTGAGAAACTGTTGACTAAGAATGAAGAGCGGTGGCGGTGGTGGTCTGGGCTGAAGAAGGTCGTCGATCCGTGGACGTCGACCATCCAGATCTCGCCGCCAAGGAAGTTTTCCTTGGAGCTAGGAGGAGGCCAAGGAGTCACTAGCAGCCAAGGAGTCAAGGTCGCCAACTCCAACAATCTCCTCCGACGCCGCCACTGTCGCGAAGCTCCGCGATTTATTTAGTTCCTTCTGACTTCTCCATTGGATCGATTTATCCCGTCGCGAAAGTCGTTGTGGACAACTTTTGCGAGAATTAGAAAGCGGCGACGGTGGCCAACAGGGACTGACGCCTGTTCCTCCTCTTCTCTCCTTGTCTTGCTCGATTTGGCCTCCCCTTTCCTCTCACATCTTGTCGGCGAAAATCCCAGATCGAAAAAGTGAAGAACCCTAATCGCCATTGAACTTACTCCTTGAAAAATTTCAGATCCAGAAATTGAAAAACCCTAATTGGGGGCACCTGCCACCATTTTCACCATCAAATCCTCATTGAAAATCTTTTATTTTGGTTTTTGGTAAAATTAATTATTTTTTGTTAAAAATTACTATTAGTATGATGTGGCATAAAGACGTCCAATTGGCGACGACGTGTCGTTCAGGTGGCATCCACCTTAGCGACACGTAGAGGTTATTGACGGTGTTAGTGACGATGTTAAAGTTTGTAACGGAAATGGCTAAAATTGTCAAGCAAGTTTGAAAAAATGGCTATATCTGTGTATTTTTCAAAAAGTGGCTATATTTGTAACAACGCGAATAGTTATGACTATGAAAGTGTATTTGCCATAAATAAATTATGCTGATCTTGTTATCAGAAGTTGAATATTTTTAGAAAAGGATCATAAACTCCTCCTGGAACGTTCTATATGTTGGTCCCAAATGTAATCAGACCGGTATTAACTATTTAGCAATGGAGGGGGTATGAGCCACGAGGATCAACCACATCTTATTTTCTATATAGTCGATATAAAGATAGAATATGTTTTTTTTTTCAAACTATTTTTTCCTTAATAAGTATATGAGATTTCATTCATGGGTTGAGTTGGGGCGACCTATAAGTACCACTAATTTTATAACCGTGTAATTGAAGCAAATTCATAAGGACTTGAGTGCCACCCTTTACTTTGTAATGAATAAGGTCTATAATGTTGTTGCAAAATCATATTGAACTAGGAATCGTACCAAATTGATCTTATGTTATGTAATCTCTTTTATGTTAATCATTTGCTTCACATAATCATTTGTATGGTTTATTCATGCACCTAAAATCATTTATTCACGTGTGAATTCGGTTGTTTCGTAGAGTTTATCTTCGATACTCGATAGGATTATTGTATTTCGATACAAATTTTAATATTACATATATATCTGGATTTATCTGTACTTCTTTATTTGCCCCTTCGTTGACTGCACATACCCACATTACCTCTCGTCCTTCTCGAGCCACTACAAATCAAACTTCCACTCCGCCACAGCCAATCGTAGCATGTCGTTATAAGTTTAGGAGGGTTTTTGTAGGAAACCTATTTTTTAGGGTTCCAACGATTGTGTTGGGAAATTAGGAATTGGTAGAGATTTAGGGATTTAGAAGAGAATTAGGGATTAGGAACAGAATTGGGGAAGAACGAGAAAGAATGGTTGGCGGCCAGATTAGGGAAAGAACAGAAATTGAGAGGATTTGGGAGAGAATAGGGTTTAGGGATTTTCTTAATACGCTTCTTATTGATTACTAATGAATCACAAAGTACATATTTATATAGGAAATACAGGAAAACCCTAATAATAAACCTAATTCTATTAAATGACTACTAACCATAATAAGAATTATCCTAATAATGATTATAATAATAATATAGAAAAATCGTGTTTCTAACATCTCCTCCCCCTTCAGACCAACCTTGCCCTCAAGGTTGATCAGCTTGATCCACTTCCACGCTTTTCTCGTGCAATTCGCGCTTTGTCTTTTTCTTTTCTTCCAATATGGTACGAGTACTCGCACTGTCCTTTTCGCGACGGCCCTCACAGGCTGCTCAAGAGCTGTCAATCTCTCCTTCAAGGGCACACCTTCTGCTTCCCTCGGCTCGTCCCCCTTCCCGAAGGACTTCTTTGCTAACCCGCTAGGCCATTCTTCAAATTCCCTAGCCTCATATGAAGGTGGCTCAAGGTGGTCCATTGCCGGTCCGAATCCTCCATGAAGGTATTGCACCTCTTCTCCTTGACACACTTGCGAGCCTTCATTGCTTGGCTTATTGCTGAATTCTTTCCCAGCCCAAGCAGGTATAAGTTGCGTCCCAATCTTCTGGTCCTCGTCGCCTAATGATTCCAACCCAACTCCATACAAAAGAGCCCAAGTCAGACTGCTCATGTAAGGCCCAAGAATTGGCCCATGGGAACCCAAACCTTGCTTAATCCTAGGCCTGCTATGCTGACTTTTCTGACCAAGAACCAACCCATCAAATCCCTTCTCACAGCCCATTCCTGAGTCCAAGTTTATTTTTTCTTCCTCCACCCCATGACCCATTATTCTCGGCCCCTCCAAAGATGCATCCACATCCCCTCGGCCCAATCGAAATGGTTGCTGCTGTTGTGCTCCTCTACTGCTTCTAGGGTTTGCGAGAAGAAAGCTCCCGCCGCCTTCCTTCTCCGTCTCTCTCTCCAGCGCCACCATCTCCGACGGTGAGCTCTTCTCCAGTCGGCCAGGGCCAAGCCCGACTCCGGCTCTTCGACAGCCGCCGTCACTCCTCCTCACCCCCCCTTCCTCCTGCCATGGCCTAACCACCAGGCGAATGGGTGGAGATCCCAACGCCGCCGTGCTTGTCTTCTTCTCCGGCGATGGGCCTTCCCGCGACCTTCGTGACAAGCAGACCGCCCGGCGGCTAAGGCCCACGCCGTGTTCCGACCACGCCCTCTTCGCCCTATTCACCATCGACGAGATCTTGCTGGTAGATCGCCTCGATCCGGCGTCGCGCCTCCCCGACCCCATCACGTCATCGACCTTCGGCTCACTCAAGGAAGTGAAGTGGCTGCCGCCTTTCTTCTTCATCAACACCAGCCCTGCCTTAATCTTCGGAGACAATTCCTCCATCCGGCGGCTAGGAACCCAGCCCGACTTCGAACTCGCCTCCTCTCTGGTCGATGCCTCCGCGTTGATCTCCAACCCAGCATCATCCTGTGTCTCCTTGAGAGCGCCCTCTTCCTTCTCCTCAACATCGCGCGAGTCCATCCCCTCTGTTCTCCAGCCAGACCTCGCCGTAAGAGAAACCACCGAGAATGGTGACTCTCGCGTGATTCGCTTTTTCGGCGGCTCAATTCTCAGTCCCGACGACAAACGGCGCTTCAGGCGACGAAAAATCAAATTCGACGCCTCAATCATTGACCTTGATAGCTCCAACAGGTGGGTAGAGGATGACGGCGGAATCGCCGAGCGCATCTCCGGCGACACACCCCAGTCTCCTGTAGGTGCCTCTTCCCCGTCTCGTTTTTTGATTCCGCCGTGGAGCCACCTCCCTCGCACATCCTGATGTGTTTGGCCAGTATCGCGCTCCTCTTTGTCGGACTCTCGCTTCTTCCTGAACTTCCACAGAGGAGCTCTCTCTCGCCACGACATGCCCTGGTTAGCCATATGATTCTTGGAAGTCAAGGTTGATTGTGGCTTTGGTGTCACGAACGATGTCGGAATCGTGGCGACGATGCCAACCTCATCTACAGCAGCCATGGGCGGCGTGACTTGAACGATAGCAGAAGTCGCAGGGGATGCTGTGGATGCTCCCGGGGTCACTCTCTCTTGGATCGCGGAGGGTAACGTGACCGATTCTGAGTCGGTTAGCGGTTCCTCCTTGGTGACGCCG